CGTAACGGAATCACGTGGGCGCCGATGTGGATATTGTCCTTAATTTCTCAGAACATTGCGGGAAGGAAGAATGGTGGATATCCGCTTCCTTCCTGTTTAGGTCCTCCGTACTTGGCCAAGAAAAGATCGAATATTGGGGCTTTGAGCTCCTCTTGTGAGTGGATATCGCGTGCATCGCTTGTATGCTAGTCCCTGCTTAATACGATACGGGCTTGCGGTTTCGCTGCGATATAGGCGTAAGAGGCCCGCTCCGAGTTGGGTCTAACTTGGTCTGTCTTTGCTAGGCGCTTAGGTTTGGGAGTGGCTGCGGTAATGATTGCGTGCTGGGTTATGTCGCTGGTGCTACTTAGTACTGGGGTTGACGTGCTGTTGGTCCATCGCGCTTTTGTTTTTCTGCTTTTTGCTTTGCATTACAATGTAGGACCGAGTATTACTTATATCTGCACCTGTAGGTGTTCTATTGTATGTTCTATGCCATTTGACGGTTTCTCAAACGGTCTGTGCCCTTGCATAAAGCAAAATATTGACTAGGATGCTATCCGACCATCTCGCAATAACGGTAGAACTATTAGTGTGGACCTGAGATGAACTCAATGGCAAGTAATAGCAAGTAATATCCGTCTTTACCCAATTGGTATGATCCATGAAACTATAACACTTTTATATATGTTGTATCCTGCATGCAGACGTACACATGGATGTTTCGACCTGTCAAATCCTAATGTAGAACCAAGCTTCATTGAGCCATGTTCAACGGCAACCTTATCCCCAGAGCGTGCAGGCTGATCTGACACAATTGGTGTCAACTCGACTATTCCCTATATGTGATATAATTTATACTACATTCCTCTATCCATGTTCTCAGTGAAAGACAAGAAGTGGATCTATAGCGGACAGATCTCTCCCAGTCTTGGCGCTCGGTTTGAATCGGAAGTACCACGATGTGCAGTATTACGGTATGCGCCCATAATTTCGGCCGAACATTGTCGGGAAAAAAGGAATAGGATGTGGGTCGCAACGATCTCCATGTCAACGGTGACTTACACCTGGCTTGGCATGCATAAAATGCGTATGTTGTATTCGATATTGCTATGTGGGCAGACTCGGACAAACAGAAGATGAACATGATAGTGGCGACACCCGGATCTACGAAGAAAACTCTGATTCTACGGGTGACTGGGTGTGGAACTTGAGTCCGTTCAGGGGTTGGGAGAATGAATTAATATCGGATGTGGCGATCGAGTGGATTGAAGGAACTAAAGTGCTTCGACGGGGTTTCTAGAATTCTAGAAGGTCTGGGCGGGTTCGGCTGCAGTCAGGTTATTTCGTTTAAGGATATAGTTAAGCAGTTGAATTTGATATTGTACGATATAGCAGAGTAGCATTGCATTAAATTCTCTATTTGTTCCTTATTCCTTATTCCACGGTTGCTCGGGTCTCTTTTTTGCCTCCACCAAATAAGCCAATCTATTTCTCATCTTTGTACCTTGCCGGATCCCTGTGAATTCCACATACGCGTCCACGAGCCCCGAGCATGCATCTAGTAATGATCGAGAGACAAAGTTCAGAGCTTGTGTGACATTCCAGTGTGGTTACAGATGATCTCCCTCAGAACCGGGTTTGGAATGATCGGCAGGGCCATGTGAACTTAAATGTACATGATTTGATACAATACATTCGGTTTATTACGGTTTAGATGACGTGCCAGACCTGGGAACGCCAGCCTGGGAACGCCAACCTTGGGAAGAGTTGAGGACCTTCGATGCAAGGAGGGAATGCCGTGACACACGGCCTTATCGTGTCTTTTACCAGTAATGGTACGGTCATTCTTTACCACAGAACCGTGGGTCAGGATTGACATTCCGGTCTCGGATGGCGTGCTAGCGTCCGGGAGATAAGAGGCTATCGTCAATTAGGCAGTAGATGTAGGAGTTATATCCTCATCCGGCATAGAAGATGGACATGCATTGTACGGGGTACTCCGTCGGATGGAGTGTATCTTCAAAGAGCTCGTGTTGGTGGAGTTCAGGGGAACGAAAATTCAAAGTCGCCACGTTGGGCGCGTTCACTTTCCAGAACCCGTGGAAGCTTACACGTATGACTTCTGGAAGGAATGTGGAGTGATGGACCGACATGGAGTTACATAATATATCAGTGGATCGTGTGCTTCGATTTCAATCGCGACAGAAGATTGTCTCCTCCGTACAACATACATTTCAGAGGTCTCCCTTGCAGATCTTAGGCGCTTGTTCAAACGTGAGAGTTCAGTGTGTTGCCACAATAAGACCCAAGCCAGAGCCAATCAGGAAATTCCACGACGCGAAAAGACCGAAATAAACCGAATGAAGAAATAGAAAGGAAAAAACGGGAAAAGAAAAGAAAAAAAGAAAAATAATAATGACATCTTATCGAAAGACGACTCCACCGGCCCCCACTTGGGCGCAGAAACTAGTTTAGCGTCCCCCATGGGCCCCACTTAAGTCTACTGAGGGTGGCCCCGTTACCATTACCCAAGGTATCGTCATGAATAATGATTCGAGAATCCGCCCTTTGCACCTTTTTATTCTTCTTCTTTAGTGCTGTGATTTCCGCTTCTCTTTTTCCACTTTCTATTATTTACCTTTTATATTGCCTCTCCAAACTATACACACCCGACTCACTCTACCTCATTCCCTATACGTTCCCTACATTCCTGTCATCCCGTGTTGCGCATCCTATATGCCTGTATCCCGATAACCCTCTTTCATCTCAAGCTGGAGCCTCGTCCCACACGCAGGGGACGACCGGTGAGAAAAAAGCCGATTAAAGGTCCCCGACGCACACTCTACGCTATGCTTAAAAAGAAGACGTTGGCTCCGTCTCTCTTCTTTCGGAACCATACTCCTACCGCAACCCCCGAATTGTCCCCCACCTCCTCAGACAGCGACTCCGAAGAGGATATGGAATCATCTGGCTCCCGGCCGGTCAGCCTAGCCATCTCGTCGGGGGCCTTCTCCATGCGCCCGACGCTCAATGAGGTGCTGGCCAACGTTGCTCCTCCTCCATACACCTTGAGTGCCTTCATGGCCTACCTCTCCCAGAATCACTGTCTCGAAACATTGGAATTCACCATGGAGGCCAACCGCTACCGGGATTCCTACTACGCTCTAGCTGGACGACTGGGCCCGGCCGCCTTGGAATCGGACTGCCCCGAGAATCAGCACCTGCGAATGCTCTGGAAACGCCTATTGTCCGCATACATCTTCCCCGGGTCGCCGCGCGAGATCAACCTGTCGAGCGAAGTCCGCGATGCGCTCCTACAGTACAAGAATGTGACCGCGCCGCCCGTGCCCGAGACGTTAGATTCCGCCGTGAAGCGCATCCACGACCTGATGGAGGAGTCCATCTTCCTCCCCTTCGTCAACAGTCACACCACCTCCCCCTCCATGGGTCCTTCCGATCCCTTTGTGGGGCCCGATGACTTCATGAGTCTATCATCGACGAGCCTGGACGAGCACCCGATCAAAACAGTCCGGTCGCGCGTGTCGAAGCGCACCTCCCCGCAGTCGTCCACCAAGGATCTTCCCGCAACGGGTCACAACCGCTCGACCATGTCCCTCGGCGCCATGCATGCTCTCGGGAAACGCACTTCCGGCCCCCTTGGCAGTACCAGCGGCGAGTCGGCTTATCTGTCGCTGACCGATGACTCCAGCTCCAGCCCCACCGCCGAGGAGCCAATGACGCCGCCCACCACGCCGCCTGCCAGCGAGCCGCATCTGCCCATGCACAGTCCTAAGCTTCGCACCGAGAACCCTTGGAAGAAGATGGGTATGAAGCTTGGCTTTAAGAAGCGCTCTACTGTAGGCAGCAACGGTAGCAATCGCGAACTTAAGATTCTTGGTCTTGACGACTAATTGTCTTCTCTTTCCTCCCTTTGATCCCGACTCTTGTCGAGATCCCAAAACACACCCTTTTGTCTCCGGACTTACGACAACTACGAACCTCGCAACGACTCTTCTCATCATTACACACTTGCATGAAATGCATCATCCCACGACTTCATTCTAGCCTTTGTCGAGCGTTTATATTGGCGGTGTATGAGAGCATGACGCATTGAAAGCATATGAAACCGGCGTTTTCTTTCTTTTTTTTCTTCTTCTTCTGGGATGTCTCCGGCTGAGCATCCTCTTTCCATTTTCATTTTCACTTGTTACTTTTTTCATGGTTTTTTGGCGGATGGCATCGGGAAAAGAAACCCATATATATCATATCATACTCTCATCTATAGATTGGATAGAGGACCTGGTGGCTTTTCAGGTCCTCTGGACACACGGCGTTTTGGTCGAGACATGTCTCGGTCTCTCATCTCCCAAAATTGGGATTTTATTCTATTCGGAATCAATAGACTTGATACCCCTCCTCGCATTTCTTTTCAAACAGTGAAACCATACAAAGTATATCATGTACTCCAGTGTCTGTCCTCCGTAGCGTTGAATTCCCATGCAGATATGCACATACACATACATACATAGGTCATGCATTCGACCGTCAGGGCAATTCCAAACCCAACAATTAACCAAGACCTCGACTCTTCCATTCTGAACACATGTTTCAATTCAACTAAACACCTTGGAATCAAATCACACCACCTGTCCTCCCAGCAGGCATCCGAGTATCCCCCCTCAACCCCGAAACCAACCGTCTTGTCTAGACCTTTCTCGATCATTCTGGTCACACACGTCGGATATGCCTACACCCAGACATGTCGGCCGAAAGCGAGAGCCCGGGGAGACGTACAGATAGGCTTCTAGTGTTGTAGCACAGATGCACACGTAACCCCTTCGCTGCCTTTCGAAGTTAATGGGATGTCTGTTCGGCACTGCGGAGTGTGGCTTTCATTGCATTTACCATATGTAGTTATAGGATAGGATCGAGTGGAGAATGGGATAAAGGTTGAAGGTTGAAGGTTGAATGTAAAGCCAAAGTCTTGAATAGAAGAAATGTAAATATACAATATAATATCAAATATCAATCCTCCGTCCCCCCCCCGTCTCCAAAGCCGCAATACCAACATCCCACCCAACACCCCTCAACGCCATCAGATATCCCTGGAATCGCGCATCGGCATTCAACAAGCCAAGCGTCCTCTCCACAACAGCAAGAACCGCATCAACAGAAGAAGAAGGCGTTGAAATCCCAACCAGAGCCAGAACCCTTGCAGCCAGCAACGCATGAGCCCACGCCTTCAACTGGTGCTCGACTGCACAGCCCCGCTTCAAGAGAATCGAAGCATGCAATTTCGTTACATTCGCATTCGAATTCGGGTTCCCTCCCGGTGCGAGAAACAGCATATAGTACTCATCCGCGAAAACAGTCACAAGTTGCGGTAGCGGGAGCGTGCGTGGGAATGATGATGATGATGATTTCCTACCTGACCCGGGACCGGAACTTGATCCGCAACTACGCAGGAATGTAGACATAGACACGCCTATCTGCGCGGATCCTAGGTGCTGGGTTGTTGTATGCTGCGTCCACTGCAACGCGCCGTCTTGGTGGAAGATGCGCTCGTGCTGGGCGACCTGTGCCGGTGTGAGTGTGAGGAGAGTGCTTTTCTTTTCTAGTGTAGTTGTGGGTGTAGCACCGAGATTGAGATTGAGATCTAGGGCTAGGGCTAGACTGCTGTCTGAGTCCAGGAGGGCGGAGAAGACGATGTTCGCGCGCTGGCGGTTTAGACTTGTCATTTGCACGGCGCGCACGGCGGCGTAGTTCATGCTTAAATGCAGGGCTAGTAGGATTAGGAGGAGGAGCCAGGTTGTGGTGAAGCTGGTTATGTGGGAGATTACTACGGATCCGACCTGAGTTTGTTAGGGCAGATTCTTTGGGTTAGGGATGGGGATGTAGATGCTTACCAGCATGCCGAAAAGCGAAATGACAGTCTCCTGAGACGAGTCTTTCTACACGACAAAATATAGATTAGCCCTGCCTGTCAATTTCCAAACTAGACAGTACACAGGAATCTGAAAATGGCACGCACAGCATTAAGCTCCGCCAGATTCCCCCATTTAGCAAAATGAGCACTCAAGCTCGCCTTCGAGCTACCTCCAGCTACGCCGCAGAGAGCTCTAAGCACACCAGCTGTGCTGAGGACAGTCACTCGCGCTGGTCCGGCTGGAACACCCGGCGAGAGACAGTCGAGGATCATGGCGATATCGTTAAAGACGTCTGCTGCTAGTCGGTAGGTTTTGCATTCCGGCTCGAGGGCTGTGCCGACGCGGTGGGCGAAGCAGATCGTTGCGATGCGGCCTGATATGTCTTGCAGGATGTGTAAGAGTAGGGCGGAGGTTGGAGAGGCGTTGGCGTTGCCGACACCGACTCCTGTATGTTGGTTGGTTGTCAGTTGTTTGTCTTCTAGTTGGGTATGGATATGGACCTTGGAGGACGGCTCTGGAGGAGAGGAGGCCTGCTATTGAGCTGCAGAAGGCTTGAAGGGAATCCTGGTGGATTGGTGTTAGATCTGTGTTCTATGTCTTTGGTATTGCTTTGATATGGTAGAGCCAGTAATTCGAGCCATGAGGGTTCTGTCTATGGCAGTTGGTTGGCAGCTAGGGATTGAATGCTCACAAAGATTTGATATCTGGTTTTAAATCAGCAATGTTTATATATCGGGATGTTTCATGCATTTCAACAGCTCCTTTCTGTACTCACGGGAGATAGTCATCGCTGACACTTTGAGGATATCCGGAAGGAAGAAAAACATCACTCAGGGAGCTGAATAGAGGCTTGGCTGACCATGATGAGGTTGATGGAGAGGCGCTCTGTTATACTAGGTTAGTTAAGATCGAAAACTTTGAGGTATAATATAGCGTTGAAGGTTCTGAATCATGCAATGACAACCATGTTTCGAATCAATGCCATGAATCGAGATTGAATGAGCACATTTCATGTACTATAGATACAAGAGAGAGTATGTGTATTCCAGGAAGATATTCATTATAAAGCGAGGGTAGATGTCCCAGAACATCAACCGGGATGCTCACCAGTTCGCAAGATGACGACCATATCTGGGACTCCGGTCTGCGTGCAATTCAAACGTCCAGTGCTAGAAAACCAATATGAAATAAGAAATGATCACTTACTATTACATCTACTCGGCCAGTCGGTGTTGAAGTGATCGAGGAAGCGACACCTCCCGAGTAGATATAGGTTGCAGTAGGATTTCCAGCCTCGTCTGTCTCCCGGACTGTCAGCCTATTCGTCTCGCTGACATGGGAGGTCATGTTTAATCAGACGTCGGGATGAGAAGTAGTCAAGGGCTCCAAGGGCGAATTGAGGTAGAGCCGGGAGGCACGTGCTTGAGACCACGTACTTGCTACCCTTGATACTTAACGCTAAGACTATAGTTCGGCTGTATAGTCTATATTCGTATTATGCGTCTAATAAAAAGCTTAGTCGAAAAATACATTTTGAATAGTGCTCACAGAGCCTATGTATGTAACAAGAATCACCAAGTCCTGACCACAACCTATGTATAAGACGAACGCGACTCTGCTTTTCGACGTCAGGACGACACAGCTGCATGTGCGCATGAAAATAGAACACCCAGAAAAAGCAACCACCAGCGCCGGGTACAACGAGTGCAAAAACACCGAAAGGAAAGAAAAGAGCGGCAAAGAATGACCGCTAGAGAAAGACGACCTTGCAAATGGGCTTCAAACACAAGGAACAGAGTATAGAGTGAGAGTTTCTGGTCTCGGAAACCTCGGAACGAGTGAACATGCATCAGATCCGTGTCCTAGCGACCGGCAAGGTAGAAAGGTATTGGCAATGCCCCAAGTCAGATCGTGACCGCGCTCAACTGCCCCAAATCCAAATCCAAGACTCAAGCTCGCTCATCACGCAACTTCCATTGGAAGTATGCCCCATTCATACATTTTGAGACAATTGTTATTTCGCCCGAGAGAACGCTTATGCGAACAAGCTCGCGCCGCCGGTCTCAATGGCCTCGATCTCGGCCTCGGTCCAGGGCAGACGGCCGAAGCGTGCGGGAAGCTCAGCGCGATCAAAGAACTCGCCCTCCTGGGGCTTGACGGGGCCCAAGGAAGCACCGGAGTGGCCGCCGATGGTGCCGTTGAAGGAGGAGCGACCGAGGGGGCCGTGCTGCTGAGCCTTAGCACGGTAGGTGGCGAAAGAGTCAGGGAGCGAGCCGGTGGGAGAGGCGGGGTGAACACGAGGAGAGTGGTCAATGGACTCTGGGAGGAGGTTAGCTTGGTCTCAGGATTCGAGCTCGGACATGGAGGATTTGACGTACTTGGCACGGAGCGCTTGCCAATAAAGTGAATGAGGGGAGTGCGGGCAGCACTGCGGAGGATGGAAGTGGCACGCATTTTGATAGTTATGTAGTTATTAGAGTGTGAGGTGGGAAGATGGTAAGATCAATTTAATGCGGGAATGTGCGAAATTGACCGGGTCCGGTGGTATCCGAATCCGACCGAGAGCAACGAGGCACCCAACAAGGGAATGGTTTCTAGTTATTTGACGGTAGGAATGAGTTTTGGATATATGTGAGAAAGTGATATTGAGAATTAATAGTCTTAGAGGGGAAAAGACGAGAAGATAAGAAGAACTAGGAGCCGATTCGGGACCGGGTGAACTACTGTACATCCTGGGCCTGGGGTATTGGAGAAGACTATATATGTCACGCCATATCCCAGCGGTATTGGCCTCGGGGTCAGATTCCGAGCCTCTTCCCCTCATTTCCCAGTCCGTGGCTCGGTGAGCTCTCCATGGGCTCCTCCTTCTTTTGCCTTCTTTTGCCTTTCAGCCTTAGGCACAAGGAAGTCACGGATTGTCACTGGATGGCGGCGTTGGGGCATCCATGGACCCTGCCCGCACCGGAATTCGGATTCCCTCATACCATGGACGCATCGGAAAATTCAATAGCATCCAATATTGAACTACGGAGTACTGCGTACTGCTAAGGAATATCCAATCACACAGACACACAGATCAAACATAGCAAACACAGCAAACACAGCAAACATCCCCGTAAACGCTATGATTATTAGCAATAGCTGCAACACATAAAAAATAGTTTGATCACTTTGATAACGTTAGGTTGCGCCACCAGGAGCTTGGACCCTGACAGGCATATCCCGGCTTCACCCGTTGCATTACACACATATCAGACAATGCACGAGCAGTCGCTTTTCGCCTCGGTTCCAGTCCATCAACATCATGAGCTCCTGCAGCAACTTGCCGGGCTGACTGCCATGCAACCCCGCCATTGCCTAGAACGGCGGCTGATCTTCAAGGCCTACCGCAAACCGGGTATGGCGGGGCGCACCGGAGCCAGTCAGGACCTGCAACAGGCGGACCTGCAACGGCTGAACAAGATGCTCAACGGGAATATGTACTACACCCAGGTGGTTGGGCCGGTTTCCGAATCGGATTTCGGATCCACTGCCCCCGTCGATGGAGACACCCAGATGGCCGGCACGGACGATTCAAAGCCTAATGTGTCTTCATCTTCTTACGACTATGAACGTCAACCATGGAAGTTGGAGTTTCGTGATATCCCGGAAGCTGGCACCCGCTCGGCGGTCACGTCGCGTCTGATGTCGAGCGCCACGCTACCGCGGGGAGATATCGTGCAGGCTATGAATGCGTGGGGTTATAAGTGAGTGGCGTCATCGAATCGATCTCATGATCGCGGACACTAACCCTGGTTCTAGTTTCACTACGGAGTATGTGGTCGAGGGTGATATGTTCATCCATAATGACATTGCTATCTTCTTGCATCGCGTGCTGCACTACCCCGGTGGGGATGAATCGAACCTGCCCCGGCGACAGCTGCCTCCTTTGAAGGATATGACTTTGTTCGAGAAGAGCGGAAGCTATGTGCTGCAGGCCTATATCATTGTTCAAGATGGTAGCAACCAGGAGACGATGAAGACTGCCTCGCAGCATCTCTTTGGCCTGCGTGAACAGTTGAAGTCGGCGGTTGTCCTGGAGCAGGCAGATCGACTGTCTCTTGATACGCGGGCGAAGTAGATGGCCACCTTTCGGTTGTGAGCATGCTGGAGACTACGAATACCCGGTCTCCAGCGACGGTATGGCGTTGATAGACTCGAGCTTGTTTTTATTGGAAAAGAAATATACCCATCATAGCAATCAAGTCGACTGAATATTTCCGTTCCTCTCAGTAGGAGTGTCTATAGAAGCCATACATAATTCTATAGTCCCATAAGTGAACACAACGCCTATACTGCTGTCCTAGTAGGCCTTGGCTGAGCAGGTAAACCTGTGCAAGTCCTATCTCAAAAGGCAAAAGAAAAAGAAAAAGATACAAACAAATCTTGCCAGATTCGACGTCAAAATGTGTTTCTCCAGCGCTTGGCATTCTTTCTTCCTTTTCGGGATCATGACCAAGTTCACTTTCTTCAAGGTGACTGTCCTCCCTCCTGTATTTTTTATTTTATTATTATTATTGTTATTGAATTTATATCGTACATTTGGCATACAGCTTACAATGCTCACCTTAAGTTCAGAACATGTGACTTCGTGATTTCTCCCGCGTCTCGGCGCGTCCAACATATATCTCGGATTCAACTGCATCTCACAGCGAGAACTGATCAAATCAACCAACACGCATCTAAACTTACCCGTATACCTTCACGACGTCTTCACTCGCCCGGACTGTCAGAATGGCCGAGGGCGCAGCCAAGAGAGCCGCCTCCCCCCAAGCCATCTCTCCACCACCACTACGCCGGAAGGTCGACTCGACGGTAACCAGTGAGTCTTTATTATCCACTAGCGTGTTAGCCACTACTAAAAAAAATGACCTACAGAGAAATCGGCGGCAAACTTCTTCACCCCGGCCTCCCAAAAGAAGCCCGAACCGATCACATGGCGCGTCATCGGCACGAGTGTTATCATCGGAAAGCAGACAACGGGCAAGACAGTGCCTCCCGCTGAGAAACTGCGCCGAATCGCTGGCTTTGACTTGGTCAGTGGTTGAACTGAATGCTAGAACGGGTAGCGTTGAGAGATAGGTCCACTGACGTTGATATAGGATTCAACCTTGATCAAAACCAAATCGGGCAATGTCTTCCCCAAGTCTGCCACTGATTGGCAATGGTGGAACACCAAAGTCCCGGGCCGACTGAAGGAGCTCAACGCTGAAGGGTATGTTCAGACTCGATGATTATGAGCCCACTAGCTCATACTTTGACAGCTTCCAAGTGGTGATTTTCTCCAACCAAAAGAAGATCAGTATCCAAAAGGATATCAAGGGTGGACGGAGTGACTCCAAAAGTCTGTCAAACTTTAAGGAAAAAATGACTGCTGTCATGACCGAACTGGATTTCCCCGTCAGCGTCTACGCGGCCACGACAGACCCTGAATATAGGAAACCCCGTCTCGGCATGTGGCGCGAGTTCCTGGACGACTATGATTTCGACGTTGCGGGTGTTGACCTGCCCGCGTCATTTTTCGTCGGTGATGCGGCTGGAAGGCCAGGTGATCATTCAGCCGTGGATCGGTAAGAATCATGACCGTTGTGTTGCGACAAAGTCTGATCTCGCTCTAGGGGACTTGCTACCAACATCGGTATGCCGTTCAAGACCCCGGAGGAGTTTTTCCTCGGGCAGATCACGGAGCCGGCGACGATGGGCTTTGACCCTATCTCTTTCGTAAAGTCGGATCTCGAAGAGCCAGGTACGTGCTCTTCCAAAGAACTTGGTATCCCCAAGGAACTCAACTCTGGCAGATTGCTGACAGGTCTTCATCGTAGCCAAACCCTTTACTCGCAAGCACCCACTTGAGCTTGTCATCTTCTGTGGCAGCCCAGGTGCCGGAAAGTCCACTTTCTACTGGAACCACCTGGAGCCTCTAGGCTATGAACGAGTCAACCAAGATCTTCTCAAAACGGTGCGCGAACTAATCCAAATGAAACTGAATCTAATGCTGATGAGCAACAGCGTCCGAAATGCCTCAAGGTCGCCCGCGAGTACTTGGAAGCCAAGAAATCTGTAGCAGTCGGTACGTGGTGGTTTATCTCTGCCAGCTCAGTTTCCAGTTTTCAGCCATCTAACCCGACTACCTAGATAATACCAACGCCGACCCAGAAACGCGAGCTCACTGGACATCTCTCGCGAAAGAACTCAACATCCCTATCCGTTGCGTACAATTCATCTCGACACCAGACCTATGTCGGCATAACAACGCCGTCCGAGCGTCCAACAAAGAGCTGGTATGTATTGGCAATATCTATCTAATC